GTGTGTGTGTGTGTGTGTGTGTGTGTGTGTGTGTGTGTGTGTGTGTGTGTGTAGAATATCTCTCAATTTTCAAATTAAGTTTATTAAAGAGATCGTAGAACAAACGTAATCGTTGAAACGATAATAATTTTATACGTTTCGATTAGTTTTCTAATCTTCTTTAGTGAAAAATATGTGCAAAAAAGGTACATAATTAATATTGCTCGTTGTCTACGCATACAAAATTGGAAAATGTAAATCTATTCTTTGCAGTCTCCAGGAAAGCCAAACTAAGTTCTCTGTCAAGAATACATTCTCCCATACCAAAATAGCTATTACAAAGCTATAAAAATCACATAGTTGGTGCCTTTAATGACAAAATAAATAAATATTTTACCGTAGGAAAATAAATGTACAAAAAAACTTACTCATAATAAAAACTGCAAGCACATAATGTAAACTGCTAATCCAAAGTCTCTTGATAATAAATATGTTAAATAATAAATGATTTTTTAGTTAAATTATAAAATAATAAATGATATTTACAATACGGAATAACATGTTGATCACACATCGTCAAACAGTGAAATGAGACACTTCGTGAGAGCTTGCCGATCATTTAAAAGTCAAGTTCAATAATAAAAAAGTGTCAATAATAAAAATAAACTAAGAGTTAAAATAATTCAAATATGCTTGGTTTAGTAGTTTTGTGTCTGTTTTTAAGTTTATGCTATTATTCTGTTGTTTTGTATTGATCATTCTCTGATATCTGTTATATTATAATTTCGCTCATTATCTAATATTTTAACGTTTTCCCAACAGAAATCATGACTATGATGCAATCTATGATTTGTTAGCTTCTTATTCTTCTACAAGAGATAAATGGTTCATTAATTTATATATTTTCTTTCAATATTCCGGAAAAGGTTCAATACTTATTACAATTGAATCATTTTCCATTTCATCCTCTTTTCAACAAAAGAACAATAACGGAAATGATAAAAAACGTAGAAAATAATGTACGAAAAATTCCAGTTTTAATTCAAATAGTATCAGAAACAGAACTATTCCAATCTTAAATAATTTAATATCTTTCTTTTCTATAAAAAATTCGGTTTCCGTAATTTGAATAATGCTTACAAACTTATTAAAAAATTTATATAAGATCCTAACATTATTTTTACTAGAGCTGATAAAGGTAACGTAACCATAGCCATGAACGAATAGATATACTTTTAAAAAATGAAAGAGTTACTGCATGATACTGAAACATTCAATAATCAGAAAGTTTCTTCTAAACATGATCAATACAAAAGCTTTGCTTACAAGGTGGAAGAATTCCAGCTTTATTTTTGATAATACTCATAGATCTCTAAATGTAAGCGACGGTTTCTTACCCAGAATGATATGATCTTCCAAAGATTCACAAATTGGATTGCCCTCTCAGAATTATTGTGTCATCTATAGATTCTATCTATCTATACAGTCCTTTATACATATTCGATCTATACAGTCCTTTATACAGAATTGCAACTTTTCTTCACAATATCATAATTAAAAATATACTAGTACCTGTCAATCATATAGCTAATAGTTTTGATCTAGTGTGTCAGAAAACTTAACAATAAATTCATTGAAGATGAATTTATATTGATCTCTCTTGATATTGTGTCATTATTTACAAACGTTCCTATAGAACTGGTAAAGAGTTTAGAAAATAGATGGGAATTTATTTCAATTCAATATAATATATCTAAAGAAGAATTCATGGGGGCCGTCCAGTTTGTACTTGATTCAACTTATTTCTCACTTTCGATAACATCATATATAAACAGAATTTTGGAACACCAATGAGATCACTTCTTTTTCCAATAATCGCGGATGTAGTTATGTAAGACCTTGAAAATGAGGTGCTGAGTATTTTTGATTTTGATATACTCTTTTTTTATAGATACGTTGATGACATCATTATGGTGATTCTTGCTTCTAAAATAGATATTGTTCTTAACAAATTCAATTCAATATTCTAGACTTCAATTTACATTGGGAAATGGCCGCAAAAAATCAACTTTTTAGATACTACCATCAGAAAACAACAGAAATAAATTTGATCTCAAACCAATCTTCTCAGGGCAATATTTCAATTTTTGATCTTAGCATACTCTTACACATAAAAAAAGCGTTATTCTTAGTCTTGTGGATCGTGTATTATTAATTTCCAGTGTTAGAACGCGTATCTAGATACTTTAGCTGTACCTGAGTAGACATTATCTAGATCTTTATAGGCGGAGATACCTGTATCTGTATCTAGTTATTTTTTGATACGGTATCTTTTAAGTTTTATAGATACAAGGTATTTATACACAAATACTATCGCCGCCATTAATGGTTTCTGCAGACACAACGCGGCAACGCTTGCTGCGCGGCGGAAGTTAGCGCGATAATCAATCAATGTCTTGTCAATCAATTGTCGATAATGTCAGCGTTCTTCAATTACCTCCGGGTCCTATCTGAGGACGAAAATTTGCCCAGGGTTGACGATCTTTAATAGTATCTCGTCGGTACTTGAGGAGACTATGCCACGTGACCTGTTTGCCATTCTGTTCCTATAAAACTCTTAAATGATAACACTGACCGCGAGTAGCGCGAAGCTTGAGTTGTTTGAGCTGCGAGGCAATTCTCTGTTTGATAACAGTTGCGATCAGTGTTACGACTTTATGAGTAATAGTTATCCTAGACCTTTATTTTTACTTATATTGTATGTTAAGATAGTTCAGTTTTCTTTGCGTATTTAAACTTATCAGTGAAAGTTATTTAGTAAATACATATACAAATGAATAAATACAAAAATGACCTTCCATTAATGAAAAATTTTTTACACTCGTACAAAACAAGGGTCACAAGGAAGATTCTATTGATTCTAAAGATACAAGAACAATATGACTGAAGCGAATAAAGTAGTCGTTGCAAAATGCAGGTTATGTCCTAAACATACTCTGATATGTATGTTTCTTGCCTTTTTCTTTTTTTGCGACCGTTTTATCGACAATTGTATTTCTTACTACTTGTTTTTTCCGAAGTTCGTTAAAGCCTATTCTGCAATGTCCTTTTTATATCTTGCCTTTTTGCTTTTTATCTCGTTTTTCGTTTTCTGTTGCTCGAGATAAACGTTAACGAACTTAAGAAGAAACAGAAGACATATATCAAGAAATATAATTGTCGATAAAACGATCACAAAGAGGAAAAAAGCAAAAGGTAAAAAGCAAGAAACAGGAAACAAAGAGCATATTGTAGAACTATAACCTTTATCTTGAGTGACAGAAAATGAAACATGAGATAAGAAGCAAAAATAAGGTGTAAAAAATGGTAAAAAGAGCAAGAAACAGGAAACAAAAAACATATTAGATTAACTTTTAACGTTTGCAATACTGGCGAATGTCATTTCATCCTTGTTGTCATTAAATGTTAAACAAGGATAAAAATAATGCTTGCGAGCGTTGCGAACATTAAGTAAAACACATAACTATTAAACTACATAACTGAAAAAGTAAGTAACTTAACCCTAATTTGTTGCTTTCTTAATATATTAATAAACGCAAAAAATAATCAAAATTATGGTCTCTGGAGCATTAGAGATTGATTTAAAAATTATAATTCAATTTATTTCATACTGTGTACAATGCAACTGTTTCGATTTACTTCATCTCTCTCTCTCTCTCAGTGCACAATACAAATATTAATCAATTCTACTATAACAACATTTCCTTACTATAACAACAAATATTTAGACTAGAAATTAATTCCCTCTTGCAATGATAACATAAATTTACTCTAAAATTTAAATTCTGATCTTTTGCTTTGAACTACGCAATTTTGTTTCTGACAAAAGTCATATACATACAACTCTAAGCTTATTTATTATTGATAAATTATTTATTATAAATTTTTAGTCTGAATTTTTGTTATAATAAGGAGAATTAATTAATATCTGTATTGAGCACAGCTGAAGACTTAGTAAGTCGCAACGTTTGTATTGCAATTTTTTTGCAATAAGAATTATTTACTGATTTTAATATTATATGTTTACCAATATTATTAAAATCTTTTAAAGATGCTTATGAGCAAATTATTAAAATGCTTTTACTGCTTTGTCGCAAATTTTAATTTGTTATAAGTGCAAGCAAAGCGTACATTTTGAAGAGTCAGGACAAAGAGGATTAGGATTTAAAATTGTCGTTTCGTGTCGCTGCGATCATACAGAAATAAATTCAGGACCTTTTATTCATAACGGCTTCAAAATAAATCGAAGAATTGTATTTATCATGAGACTTTTGGGCATTGCAAGAGAGGGAATAAATGTATTCTGTAATCTCATGGACATGTAAGTGGCAGAAAGCTGTCGCTTTGAACAGAGACTCGACACTTGAAGATTTGACACCACTGCTTGGCCAGGAAATGAAAGAGCACCTCTTACCAATATACGAGAATTTATCTAGAGAAGATCTTCTAGAAAGGTGCTTGGGTGGTCACACTCAGAACGCCAACGAAAGCTTTAACTCCACCATCTGGCGATTGACCCCCAAACACTTACATTCTGGCCAAAAAATAATCGAGTTATCAGCCTGCATTGCAGCCGGAGTATTCAACGAAGGCTACAATTCAATATTAAGGCTGATGAACCAACTGGACATCGTTGTCGGAAATCAAGCTCTCAATTTTGCTAAAAATACGGACGAAGCTCGCGTTACACGACAGAACAGGATGAGCCAAAGCGAGACAAAAGCTGCCCGTACTGCCAGGAAACAGCAACAACTGGAAGATAATCAGCTTTTCGAGGAAGCTGAAGAGCTATTGTATGCACCTGGAATCGCTGATTGATCGGTAAGTCGCAAAAACCAATAGTTTTATCGTCCTGAAACTTTAAACGCAATTTTCTCGAAACTACGTTTTCAAAAACGGCTGCTACTGTACCTCAAAAAATTATTAACCGATCGGGCTGAAATTTTGAGGGGTTTTAGTCAACATAATTACCCACAGAGTGAACCTAAAATAATTACACATTTTGCATAAATAAACAATTTTAAGCGGGCAATAACTGTCGAAAAAATAGGCGAAAATACGAATTTGTTATTAAAAAGCGTACCAAATTTTTGATTTCGTACTTTTTCTCAATTTTATAGGTTTACTCTATGCTTAAACTCATCAGTAATCGAAATATGTTTTGTTTTTTGATTTCAGACCAATAGAAAAAGTTGGGCGATGGCAGCCGTTTTACATCTTTCACAAAAACGGCCTTCGTGGAGGGACTGTACCGCCGCCATTTTGTATCAAAAAACAAAAAAAAAATTTTTTTAATTACCTGACACGTCATTAAATTATGCCAAAAGTGCAAAATGATTTAATTATTTTATCACCCTCAAAATAATTCACGAAAAATGACTGATTTTCGAGCATTTACAATACATGTATGTATTTCTCCCCTTAAGCAACTAAGATTTGACTTGACCGATATAGACATTTATCTTATTTAATTTGATTTATTCTCATTGTTCTAGTATATATATATAGAGGTATACTCTCTAAATCTTTTGAAGTGAAAATTGAGCTAATCTCAAAAAAAGAGAAAATTTTATACTCTAGAACGAAAATAGCAAAAGAAGTGGAATCTCCTTTTTTTGCAGTAAGACTTCATTTCTTGGAGTAACTTTCACTCCAACAAAGTGAAATCTTACTGCAAAAGAATCTCACTCCTAAAGAGTGAAAATATTTTCATTTGTTTTAAGGATTGGCTCAATTTTCAGTCTTTTGGTGTGAAATTTCACTCCAAAAGATTTAGAGAGTCATATTAATTTGTAACTACATAGTGGAAGAAATGCTGCCAATTTCTACGGTAGAAAAGTAGTCCAGAGTCTTATTTCTGGTTTGTCTGGAGATACAAATTCACCTGTCCTCAAACACTTAAAGCTTTAATTGACAAGCAAAAAGAGGAATACATAGAATCTTTTAAAAATAAACTTCGAACAATTCGTTATGTGTGCACTATGGCTGACATTTGGAGCACTAACAATAAAAGTTACATGGGAGTAACTTGCCACTATTTGAATAAGCAATTAAAAAGACACTCCATGGTTCTAGCATGTAAACAAATGAAATATTCTCACACACATTTGCAAATTGCTAAAATTCTGTCAGATATTCATGCTATGTACAACTTTAAACTGGAACAAATTGTAAGAACTGTCACCGACAATATAAAAAATTTTGGAAAATCTTTCCAAGTATGCTGTATCCGAAGACAATAGTCCTAACGAATTAGATTTTTTAAATAATAAAAATATTGACGTACATAATATTCCTAATTTCAAATTAAATATTACAAAAGATTTGAGCTTTTCAAGCAGAAAATGACGATATAATGCTTCCATATCATTATCGATGTGCTTCACATTACTTTAAATCTATAAGCAATCTAATAGCAACTAAAGACTCAAAAAAAGCATTGCAAGATACTACTTATAAAAGAATGTATCATGTAACATTTGCCAAACTTACTGCCTTGTGGAATTTCACTCATCGTTCTACTGTAGCTTCCGATGCAGTAGAAGCCATTTGCAATATGAAACTAATTGTGCCTTGCCCCACAAGATGGAATTTGTTCTATGATAGTATTAACAGAGTGCTATTATTAAGAGATCATCTATCAGCAATTTGCGAGAAACTCCAGAAACCTAAATTAAAAAGCACTGAAATTGAATTTCTAGTTGAATATGTCACCGTAATAGGACCGATCGCAAAGTCTTTAGAGTTCCCGCAAAGGACATTTGCTATTTAGGCTACGTAAATGCTACCTTACTTCAAATTAAAAAAATTTTTAATTCACTAAGTCATCTAATTTACTGCACACCGCTCAAAAATGTTCTTGATGGTATATATGCAAGATATAAGGATATTTTGGACTTGAACAACAGTAAATCCAAATCCTACATTTTGGCAACGATTTCACATCCAAAATTTAAATTGAGATGGCTGAATAGTAGTGATGATAAATACAACTTAAACATTATTTTTATGTGAATGTGTGAAAAGTTGTACCGAAGGGAAGTAAACACAAAGGAGAAGAAAAACTTTTCAACGAGTAGTAATGATGAAAATTTCTTTCATGATTTCATTAAGAATTCCAATACAAATAATTCAATAGAAAAGCAAAACGTTGTACAAATGGAATGTTTACGCTACTTTGAAGATAAAAGCAAGATTGTTGATTCGTTACTAAATTATAATTTAATTCAAAAAGTATTTAGACAGTATAATATTATTCTACCGTCTTCAGTATATATCCGTTGAAAGGCTGTTCAGTGCAGGTGGCCAAATTTTAAAAGGGGTTACACTACCCAAGCGCGTCGAAAAAAATAAGCTTTTTCGTGAATTTTTTTCTTGAATTCTAAGTGGTGGATCAAAACAAAAATTTAGGGCTTTATTACACATATATTAAAGTTCTCACAAATATTTTTTATTTATATATGTATAACAAAATGGCGTCGTGGCAGTATAAAAAACAAAAAAAAATTTTTTTGTAGGAGAAAAACGGTTGCAGTCCTGGTGTGCCATGTGGAACAAAAAAAAAATTTTTTTCTTAATTTATAATAGTTTTTCCATAGAAGTACCGAGGATTTTTAATTTTGTTTAAAAATTCACAAATTTGTATGAGTTTAAATTTTTTTTTCATTTTTTAGCAAAAAAATCGACCTTAAATTGTTAACTGCAAACGTAATAATTTATCAATCATAAAAATCGTGTGTACTTCCACGGAAAATCTATTTAAGAAGTTGCAGTTAAAATTTCAAGTCAATCGGACAAAAATTGAGCGAGATACGGTGTACACCGATTCGTAAAACATAGTTTCGAGTAAAACGGAAAATAAAATAAAATTGTTTAAAACCTTAAAAATCGATTTTTTTTTTGCTTTACCTTTTTAGTCCGCAATTCCAGGGCCATACACGACTTCTTATACTTCACTGCTTCACTAATAATTGAAAAAACTGACACAAAGTTTATAATTCGATAACCGAAAGAAGCGTCAATGACTACCTGCGACCCTCTGTCCGAAATCCGCTCGGTCACGCTGCCACTGTAACGCGCATAACTTTCTCTATATTTGAAATATTTTTACCGGTCCAATCTTAAAATGTTCCTGACATTTCAGGCTTCAAAATAATGCAAAAAAAAAAACCATTTTTTGAAAATTTCAGGGTGGTGTAACCCCTTAAGAAAAACCAATGTTCGACACAATGTTTGAAACTTCATTAATGTTAAAAAAACATGAGAAATAGTGATGACAACATTACAAAGTTATGTTTTGTAATCTCTATGTTTTTTTTTTTGAAGATGTTAGAGACCTCTATGTTTTTTTAATACGTTCGAGACATTTTTTTACATATATATTAAGATAAACAAATAAAAATAAAATGTGATATTTAATTTTACATTGCTTATTACTCTTTCCTGTTTTCCCCTAATTTTCCTTTTTTTTTTGTTGAAAGTACTTAAGAAGTATTTAAATTTTCAGATATTTTTTATTTATATCTGTATCTGTACCTAGGTAATTGTAAAAAAATGCATCTATACTTATATCTAAATACTTTTCCCACACAATACCTATATCTATATCTAGATATCTTTCAAACGGTATCTGTTCCAACATTGTTAATTTCTTACTCTGACTATCATGCTAAAAACTTAGAATTTGTTGTTAGAATTTTATTGTATAATGACTATTCTTTGCAATTTATTTTTTCGACAATGATTGAAAGAATAAAAATCTTAGCTAATAAAAAAACAGCTTAAAATAAAAACATCATTCTTAACAACAATGATAGTAATAGTAATAACAACGATCAATTAAAAACTTGATTTACAATTTCGTACGTAGGTTCATTGTCCGAAAAATTTAGAACCGTTATCAAAGACACTGTTTCCGTTGTATAGCTATGAATAAGTTGAATAATGTTATCAGGGCACAAACAGATCTATTACCCGCAAGTTATAAGAGGAACATTGCCTATAAAATTTCTTGTAAAGACTGTGACTCAATTTATGTCCGACAAACAGAGAGACAATTGAAAACGAGAATCTCTCAACATAGATCTCATATTAATAGAAACACAACAACACATTCGGTAATTACAGATCATAGGTTGCACCATTGTCATGATTTTTGTTGGAAAAACGTTAAAATATTAGAGAATGAGCGGAATTATAATAAGAGATTTGTATCAGAGATGATCAATATAAAACAACAGAATAATAGCATAAACTTGAAAACAGATACAGAACTATTGTACTAAATCAAGCATATTTAAATTATTTTAACTCTTAGTTTATTTTTATTATTGACATCGAACTTGACTTTTAAATAATCGGCGAGCTTTTACGAATTGTCTCATTTTACTATTTGACGATGTATGGTCGACACGTTATTCTGTACTGTAAATTTTATTTATTATTTTATAATTTGACTAAAAAATCTTTAATTATTTGATATATTTACTATCAAGACTTTGGATTAGCAGTTTACATTATGTGCTTGCAGTTTCCATTATGGGTAAGTTTTTTTGTACATTCATTTTTCCATGCTAAAATATTTATTTAATTTTGTTATTAAAAGCACCGACTTTGTGATTTCCATCCAACCTTGTAACTGGCATGAGAGAATGTATTCTTGACAGAGAACTTGATTTGGCTTCCCTGGAGACTGCAAAGAATGGATTTACATTTTCCAATTTGGTATGCGTAGACAACGAGCAATATTAATTATGTAGTTTTTTTGCGTATATTTTTTGCTGACGAAGGTTAGAAAACTAACCGAAATGTACAAATTTATTATCGTTTTAACGATTATGTTTGTTCTACGGTTTCTTCAATAAATTTAATTTAAATATTAAGAGATATTATTGAACAATTTGCGCATCTTGAACAGCGCTTATTCTCTTTTCGAAGCATTTTTTCCACTCCAAGGCTGTAATCTCAGAAATCAGTGTACGAAATGTTTCAACAGCTGCTTCAGGCGACTCAAATCGCTCACCGCGCATCTTATTTTTAATGTTTGGGAACAAAAAGAAGTCATTAGGTAATAAATTAGGTGAATACGGACAATGAGTCATCAATTCGACATTATTACTAGATAAAAAATCAACGGTTTGACGTGCTGTGTGACAGCTGGCGTTGTCATGATGAAGGATGATGCGACGATTTCGGTTTGTTCTACGCAATTCATTTATAACTTCTGGCAAATTGTTGTATACCAATCAGTATTTACAGTC